CTCGCCTGCCGCCCTCGAGCCGCGACAGCCGGTGCCGTGGCCGGCCCGCCTTCGAACATGAAGGGGGGACGGCCTCATGCCGCCTCACCGCGCGACGCGGCGGCCGGCCGCCACCTCAAAGGAGGCCTCTCGCGCTCAAAATACGTGCGAGGCACCTGCCGAAGGGGGTGGGGTGGTCGGGCGGTCTAGGGGAAGGCGTCTCCGGTGGGTGGGCGCCGCTCCTACAGCGCGCGGGGCGGGGAGGCCGACTGCGGCGGTGATACGGTCGCGCGCGCGGGGCGTGGAGGGCCAGGGAGGTGGAATCCGGGGCGGCGGAAACCTCCGATTTTTTGCAGTTCTAATTAGCCCGAGGCTGGCCGGAGAGGATTGACCGGTCCGATGTTTGTTTTTCCGTTGCTCCAGCCGGCCAGCCGTGCCTACGGCGAGAAAAGGAGCGTCCGACCCGGTCCGATCTCGCGCTCCAGCGGGAACGCCGAGCGCCTCGGACGCCAAGCGGAAACGGCGTTCCGAGGCGGGGCGCGGTGGCGATCACCGGTCGGCGCCTTCGCGGCCGGCCGGCCCGGTGGGTCGCCACGGCACATGCGCCGCGCGCCGTCGCCAGGCCCCGCCGCCGCCCCGCCAGAGCAGCGGCGAGATGGGAGGCGGTCGGCGGGTACCATCGGCTCTTGAGCGAGCTTTCAGCTCACTTTGACGACGCTAGGAAAATCAATTCGTGGAATCCAGTTCGAGATGCAGTGAGGCGGAGCCTACCCTGACACCACCAGCGAGCGCGTGTTTGACGGCCGCTCCATCGCACCTGGTGCCCACATACTCAGCACACGAATTCATCTTCGTCGGAGTCTAATAGAGCGTGTCGCGCCCCGCACGCCCGCGCGAAGGGTGGCCCACGGCGGGCGCGCTCACGCTTGGCCGGCGGCGGCGACCGTCGCGTTGTGCGCCGCCACGGCGGCGGTGACAGCCGCCTTTGCCGCGACACGGGCAGCAGCGCGGGCGGCGGCCTCGTCCGTCGGCGTCCTGGCCGCGGCCAGCGCGGCGTCGGCGGCCTCGAGCGCGGCGAGGGCACCCTTGGCCCCAGCCGCGGCCTTGCGCAGCGCTTGCGGCGCCGGGGGGCCCGCCGGGCCGGGGTGCGGCGCGGCCGCCGTGCAGCGCGTGCGTCACGGTTTGGATCTCGA